TTGGCGTCTGGGGTCCCGTTGTGTTGTGAGTCACTCTACCCATTTATTGAAATGATCCCTTCTCAACCAACCATCTCTTATTAGAAGCACTATAAATGCAGGGCCATTGCGTACATTCCATTGACAATCATGGCTGTTCCTGCCTCAATCCTGACAGTAAGATTACATACTTTATCCTGATTCATGAACAGCCTTACCTATTTTCTTAAGTCATCATTAAGTTTTATATACCTTTTCTGCCTCAGCTTGGGGGTGGCTACTTGTTTGGGCTACCCATTGCCATTGTTGCTGATTCTATTGGTGCCACTGCTGGTGCTGGGGCTGCATTTCTTATTGGAAGAACTGTAAGTTCTTGGATTCAGTATGCTTTCAATGCATACCTGTCAATGTAATTCATTTGAGTTTCTTACTATGTGCTGCAGGTTGGGAAATCCTTTGTTGTTTCCAAGTTGAAGGACTATCCGCAGTTCCGCTCGGTTGCTATTGCAATTCATAGATCTGGGTTTAAGGTTTTTATGTGGAAAGTTTTTTGTTTTTTTAAGCTGCTTTATTGTCTTGTGCTTAGCTCTTGACTGCTGTGATTTGCAGATCATTCTGTTACTTCGGCTTGTTCCCTTGCTTCCGTTCAACATTATGAATTATCTTTTGTCTGTGACTCCTATTTCACTTGGGAAGTACATGTTGGCTTCCTGGTTGGGAATGATGGTACGTTCCTCAACCTTCTCCGCGGCTTTAATTTCTTGTTGATCAGTTTTACGAAATTCATAACCAAGATGGATGGCGCTTATGTAGTGAACGAATTCGTATTATGCCATTGGAAAAAGCTAATTCAAAAGCCTAATGAGTTATCTTAGTAACCAAATGTTGTAGGGTTATGTGGTTGTTTCGAGAAAGTAGTCAGTGTTGAGGATTGTTGGGAGAGGGTATCAGAGTCATGCCTATGTCAATAGAATCCTCAAATGTCAAACAAAGAAGTTGTGAGCCTCGAAATTGTAGTCAAAAGTGACTAAATGACGAACAAAGGATGTATTTTGTTTGAGGACTCCAGAGAAGGAATCGAGCCTCGATTAAGGGAGGCTGTTCGAGGGCTCCATAGGTCTCAAGTGAGGCTCTATAGTGTACTTTGTTCGAGGGAAGGATTGTTGGGAGGCAGTTCCACATTGGCTAATTTAGGGAATGATCATGGATTTATAAGTGAAGAATACATCTTCATTGGGATGAGGCCCTTTGGGGAAGCCTAAAGCAAAACCATGAGAGCTTTTGCTCAAAGTGGACAATATCATGCCATTGTAGAGATCCGTGATTCTTAAGAGTCAGAGTGTACAAGCTAGTCTGGAAATTCACTCTATGAAAGAAAGAATACTAATTTGAAAGTAAAAAGAAATCTATGAAAAGTCATTGATCCTTGTTAGATCAATCACACATTGATAACTTTATAGCTCACTGAAATTTTTTGGTGTTCATGTGGTTGGCTCATATGCTTGTTTCACATTGATTTCCAAATGATTATTTGGTTGCAGCCAATTACAGTTGCATTAGTTTACGTGGGAACAACCCTTAAGGATCTATCTGATGTGACTCATGGCTGGAATGAATTTTCAAAGTCTGATTGGGTAAGCTAATTCAGGTTCCATAGTTGGCTAGAGATTGATACTCTCTAATTGTTAGGTATTTGAATGAGCTGATATAATGACCTCCTTTCTCTAGTATGATGTAAATTTGATCTTTCGTGAATGCAGGCATTTCTCGTGTTGGGTCTTTCGATATCTGGTAAGTGCCAACTCGTATGTATAACGATATTTAGCTTCTTATAACGCACATGCTCACATTTCTCAGTCAAGGAAGTGTTCCCCATATGATCCGTGAGCAAGGCATCTTGAAAGTTAGATTCTATGTTTCTCTTTAAGCGCCAATGTCATGTTCATTTTATAATTATTGTTTATGTAACAACTCAAATTCACTGCATGTAGATATTGTTTTTTTATTGGCTTTCCCTTCTAGGCTTCCCCTCAAGGTCTTAATATGCATCTACTAGGGAGAGGTTTCTACACCCTTATAAAGAAGGTTTCCTTCTCCTCCAACCAATCTTACAATCTACCCACCCCCTTTCGGGGCGCAACGTCCTCGCTGATACTCGTTACCCTCTCCAATCGATGTGGGATCTCACAATCCACCCCCCTTTGGGGCTCAACGTCCTCGTTGGCATACCGCCCGGTATCCACCCCCTTCAAGGTTCAGCGTCCTCGCTAGCACACCGTCCGGTGTGGATTGTGAGATCCCACATCAGTTGGAGAGGGGAATTAAACATTCTTTATAAGAATGTGGAAACCTCTCCCTAGTAGACGCATATTAAAACCTTGAGGAGAAGCTCGGAAGGGAAAGCCCAAAGAAGACAATATCTACTAGCGGTGGGTTTGGGCTGTTACACTTTAGTTCTTATTTTGCTTGATTGGAGCCCCCCTTCTCTAGTCGGGTCTCTAGTCGGGTTCCATTTTGTGGACTTGGTTCTTTTTTAGGCCCGTGCAGTCTTTCATTTTTTCTTATTGCTTGACTGGGTAGGTGGGAGTGCATATTATTACCCTTTTGACACCATGGAACTAAGAATATGACTGCAAAAATTCGTTCTCTATCTATTGCATTCAGCTGCTAAATAGAACATTGGAATAAACTTAAAACACAAACATTCATCCTGCACAAGCTTAGCATCCAAGGAAAGCCTTGAAACATTTTTCTTTGAATTACAGTGGTTCTAATAATTTGCATTACAAAAGTCGCCAAGGCTGCTCTAGATAAAGCGCTGGCCGAAAAGGAAGATTACGACGATGTCGTGTCTGGTCAGCTACTGGTTGTAGAGGCTCCTCTAGATCTCAAGCAGCCTCTAATAATCAAGATAGACCCAACCGAAGATAACCAAGAAAAATGACAAGGCCATGTCCTCAACGAACCATTCTGATTCACTCCACAGCTACTGATATCAACTTGTTTAAGAGCTTGTGGTTTGTAATATCTCTGTACAGTTCCATAACTTAGGTAGAAACCTAGCTTAGCTTCTGTCTTGTGATTGGAGATGAATATATGATAACTATAGGCAGTTCTTGTACTTTTCTGTATCGTATTACTAGGAAAGAAGAACGTTCAGTTCTCGATAGATATAGTGTATTGCTAAATTATAAAAAATACCGTTGACCTTCATAAACTTTTAAAACTCTCGTTTGTGTAGAAAACTTATTAGAATGCTTGACGAAAAGTCAACGTGACAGAACGTAGTCTTTTCAGACTTCATCTAGACAAGCGTCTAAATCATCGGGTTGTTTTTCGGTTCAACATTCAAATGAATTTCTACTACAAGGGTTTTGAAATGTCAAGGACACTATGATCAAATTCGAACAATAGTATAGAGAATGATCGATGCTTCTTAACGGTTGTGTACAGAATTTTTTGAGAATGTAAACAGAGATTCATTCTTTAGCCATCTTCCAATTGGGAGATATTGAATCCAGCCGAAGTGGGGGACACAGACTTGGAAACCTTGCTTCTTGGAGCCTTTACTTTTTGTATCCACCAACCCCTATTGCTATCTGTTCAATTCCCAACTAAAAGTTGAGTGCAGCTCAGTTGGAGAAGAAGAAAAAGAAGCTCATTTGTTGAACTTGTTTAGACATGATCATTTTTCTATGTACAATATTGGTTGCTATAACATCTTTTTCCCTCCTTCAAACCACTAAAAGAAGAGAGGAAGTCAATGACCTTTGGGATCGTGCTTCAATAGTAATACTCTAATCGAGTCAGCCTGATGTAGTAGATATGTGAGATCCCATATCAGTTGAAGAGGGGATCGAAACACTTTATAAGGGTGTGGAAACCTCTCCTTAGCAGACACATTTTAAAACCGTGAGGCTAATGGCGATACGTAATAGGTCAAAGCGGATGATATCTGCTAACAGTGGGCATAGGGTGTTACAAATGGTATCATAGCTAGACATTGGGTGGTGTGCCAGCAAGGATGCAGGCCCCCAAGGAAGGTGGATTGTGAGATCCCACATCGGTTGGAGAGGGGAACGAAGCATTCCTTGTAAGGGTGTGGAAACCTCTCTCTAGCAGATGCATTTTAAAACCGCGAGGCTGACGACAATATGTAACGGGTCAAAGCAGACAATATCTACTAGTGGTGGGCTTGGGTTGTCACAAATGGTATCAGAGCTAGACACCGGAAGTTGTGCTCCAAGAGGGGTGGATTGTGAGATTCCACGTCGGTTGGAAAAGGGAACGAAACATTCCTTATAAAAGTGTAGAAACCTCTCTAGCATATGCATTTTAAAATCGTGAGGCTAACAACGATACGTAACAAGCCGAAGCAGACAATATCTACTAATGGTGGGTTTGGACTGTAAAACCATGAGGCTGACGGTAATACGTAACGGGTCAAAGTAGACAATATCTGTTAGTGGTAGGCTATGTATACTAATAGACGTAGTTGAGTTGAGTTCGAACGAATTCAAAGTAGTTTCAACTTTTGAAAAGGATTCTTTTCAAAAGTTTAAAATGGAGAATCTCCACAATCAATTTACCCACAATCTTGTGCAAGTGATTGAAGGTGGTTGAAGATGAACAGTGGAGTGAACCAAAAGAAAAAGATATCGTAATGAGAGGTGTAGCAGAATCATATTGGCTAATGCAACCCCTCATCATGAAGCTTTGAACTCCCCACTCCTTTTAGTGGTTACACCATTTCCCTTTTCCCTTTTCTCTTCCTTCCTCCACAAACCATTTCAATATTTCAATCTTTTTCACTTTCTTTTAGAAAACAACTTATTCTTTCAATGCAATTTTCTTCCACCTTTTCCCAACTCCTCCTCTCATGCTGTTGAATTGGCCCTACCAATTCCTTAATGGAAGGGCTTATCCATATTCCCTTAAGATGCCCTCTCAGCCACTTGATCCTTGTAGCCTTTAAATCACAGCCATCTGATGCAACTTTTCCACAAAAATACAGCAAAAACCAGAGTTTCTGCTCATTTATATAGTTCAAACCCCTTGAGGGATTGATGGTTTTATGTAGAACCAACAATTCAAATGCCGGGGTTCGGTGTTTTCCCTCTTGGTAGCTGTTTCGATGGGTGCCGAGACCACGCTCAAGCGTCGGGATTCGGCACGCGTATATGGAACTTGAGCGACAGGCCGGTCGAGCTGCAGATAAGGGTAGGATCAATATTGAAAAAGGTGCATAGTTTGAAGCCAGGATGCTCAAAGAGGTTGAAATGTAAGAGCATTTACAAAGCATATATGCCAGGAAGGAGTATGAAGAGCTTGCTTTATTACTATGATGAAGCTTGCCAACCTTATGTTTGGATACATGAAAGTGGAGGTGATTCCATGAGAATGGTGAAGCAACAATTTATCAGTCTTGAAGATTTGAGGGAGTTTTCTGAGATTAGAATCTTTCGGGATCATCAGCGCGGTTGCGTATCGGTTCGGAAGAAACCGAGGCTCGGTTTCTGCTGATTCTTATACTAAAACATGTTGTGTTCTGAAACTTTGTAACTTTTCTATGAATGTTGTTCTTGTGTTTTCATCTCTGCCATGTCTATTGCCTAACTGTCTTTCCCTGTTTCCTTCTTTTGTTTGGAATTTAACAAAGTCAGATGGCATTGTTGTTTCTTCCTTTGCCTTTTTAAGGGAATGGAAATCTCGATTGGATAGGGAACGAAACATTTTTTATAAGGGTGTGAAAACCTCTACCTAGTAGACACGTTTAAAATCGTAATGGGCCAAAGTGAACAATATTAGCAGACTTGGGTTGTTACAAGAACCTACGTTCTTTTAGTAGAAAAAGTAAAAAATGTTTAACGACGAAGATGTTGTCTATTTTGTCCCGTGATTACGCTGCGAGGAAAAAAAGGAATGTGGATAAAGGTCTATAAATGAGTAAAGCAACCTTATAAATGAAGGGTTGCAATTAAGTTCAATATATTAAAGTTAAATAAAGTGGTTTGACGGTTTGACAAACTGTATCATCGAATCTTCAATCAAAAGCACTGAACAGCAAAGCTTTTAGAAAAAATCGAATTTTCCTGTGTATTTAAGGTGAATTTTCTTACAATTCAATATTTAAAATGAATTTTATGATAAATAATTAGATTTTTTTTTTGAAAAATTGGGATTTCAAAATCAATTTAGGTTTGAAAAACATGAATTTTGGATTGAATTTTGATTTTAAAACACTATTTTAAATTTTAAAAATTCAAAAAAAAAAATCACCTGATTTTTCTAGTTTCTTTTAATTTGCAGAATTCCATGGTTGGAATTGGAAGTTTATGAAATTGGACACCGTGGACGACAAGTAGGAAAGTTGTTGCCATCTCAGCATTGAGAAACGACACGTCGGAATAGTATAAAAGTAGACCGTCAAATAGAAAACGGAGGTCAACGGAATGGGCTGAACAAGGACTTGCTTCTTCCCAATTGTTGAGCAGAAGAAAGAAAAATCCAAAATTTCATTTCTTCTTCTCCGATCTCTCGATCCAGAAATGGGTATTTCATGGAGTAACAGAAGAAGAAACAATTATCTTCAAAACCCACCTCCGCCCTACCATTCTTCTTCCTCCTTCTATTACCCTTCTGAACCCACATCCCTTCCTCCGCCGCCGCAGACCCATCACTTCACCAATCACAGCCACCCTTACACTCCAACTCCCCAGCCGATACCCTTGCCGCCGATTCCTCCTGCCCCTGCTCCTCACTCCTATTACTTTTCTGGTGGGTACAATTCGTGTAATTATGGGAACTCTTCGATGGGGCGTTTCAATTTCCACCCTCATTATGCCAATCAGAGTAATGGGTGGTCTCAATTTCGGCCGGTGATGGTGCCGCCGTTTCTTCCGCCACCGTCTTTGCCGTTTGTGGAGCATCGACAGGCGAAGAAGGTTAGGAATGATGTGAATGTGCATAAGGATACTTTGAGGATTGAGGTGGATGAACAGAATCCTGATCAGCATTTGGTTTCTTTCGTGTTTGATGCGTTGTATGATGGAAGGTAACTTGAGATGCACTTATTTGAGTTTTGGCTTGTAATTAGTGTTGTGTTGGGCATGTGGGTGGCTGTAGAATGATTTGAAATTGTTTGAAATGGTTCATGATTTGGATCTCAATTCCTGCATTTTGAGTTGGGGATTTCTCTGAAACCTTACTAAGGTTTAGTTTAGCTAGTCTAAGTTAAGGAGCTTGGTAGAAAATGCTTGTCATGATGTAATTTCTTCATTGCTGCTTGGAAGTTCGCAATGCTTGCTTGTACTCTCTCGGTGTTCATGAAGCAACATTTTGTAGACTGATGGTACTGTTAGAACTTCTGTACCCTTGTTGTGCATAATGAGGGGTATAAAGAAACTGAATTATGCCTGCCGCCTTTAACTAGAGTCCTTACAAGCAATTGATCTTGATTATTGTTGTAACACCCCAAGCCCATCGTTAGTAGATAGTGTCCCCTTCGACCCGTTACGTATCGCCGTCAGCCTCACGGTTTTAAAACGCATCTGCTAGGGAGAGGTTTCCACACCTTTATGAAGAATGTTTCGTTCCCCTCTCCAACCGACGTGGGATCTCACAATTAGCTTCAGTTTTTGTACCACATAGTTGCTTTCACGTGTTATTTAGAGGCCTGGGCTTTCTATTGAGATGAGTCCTGTCATAATTTTTAGTACTGCAATTGTTGTATCAATTCAGAATGTCTAGCTTGGGACTTGTGATAGGGTAGATAAGGTTTCTTAGAAGAGTGTGGAAACCTCTCCCTAACAGTGAATTTTAAAATTGTGAAGCTGACAGCGATATATAATAGGCCAAAGCGGAAAATATCTGCTAGCGGTGGGCTTGAACGGTTATATATGGTATTAGAGCTAGACACCGAGCAGTGTGCCAACGAGGACGTTGGCCTCCAAGGGGGGTGGATGTGAGATCCCACATTGGTTGGAGAGGGAAACGAAGTATTCCTTATAAGGGTGTGGAAACCTCTCTCTAACATATGCGTTTTAAAACCATAAGGCTAATGGCGATACATAACGGGTCAAAGCGGACAATATCTGTTAGCAGTGAGCTTGGGCTGTTACACAAGTTCACCGCTAGCAGATACTGTTTTCTTTGGACTTTTCCTTTCGGACTTCTCCTCAAAGTTTTAAAACGTGTCTACTAAGGAGAGGTTTCCACACTCTTAAAAGAAATGTTTTGTTCCCCTCTCCAACCGACGTGGGAGCTCACACCTAAACTTTGTTTTTTCACGTTCCACCGTACTTATTCTGTCATCAGCTTCCTAATTGCTGTTTTGAATATACTTTCTTGTTACTGTTTCTAATTCAATTTCTTTACACGATGAACAGCATTACCATCCTATTTTTTGCCAAGGAAGAGCCCAACTGTAGGTTTGTTCCAATATATCCCGACGCCTTTAAGCCAGTAAAAATCCCATTTCAAAAGGGTCCTGCTCAGAAATTCTTTCAGCCTGTGGGAACTGGGTTTGACTTGGGATTTTTCGAGTTGGATGACCTCTCAAAACCTTCGCCTTCTGAAGACGTTTTCCCGCTCGTTATATCAGCTGAGACTTGCTCACCCTCTCAGTCCAACGATGAACGAATTGGTGAGCCTCAACCAGATAATTCACATATGCAAATCACTCAAGCTGTTCTGGAGAAGAAAAATGGCAATCCTTTCCAAGTTAAGGTGATCCGGCAACTACTATGGATTGATAGAATGCGTTATGAGTTGCGTGAGATATTCGGTATAGGGAGTTCGTCTTCAGAAGGTTTTGACAATAACGACTCCGGGAAGGAGTGTGTGATTTGCATGACCGAACCCAAGGATACTGCTGTATTACCATGTCGACATATGGTAAGGCTCCATTTGCGTGTTTATTCATGGCAACCATTCGACGAAACTTCGATAATCTATCTGCTACATTTGATTTTAAAACCTGTGTGTTCATTTGCAGTGCATGTGCAGTGAGTGTGCCAAGGAACTGAAGCTTCAATCTAATAAATGTCCGATTTGTCGTCAACCGATCGAAGAACTTATAGAAATCAAGATAAATAATAGCAATCAGTGAGAATTACCTCTTCATCCTATGTTGGATTTCATGGTTGGCTGTTAAATTCTTTGTTTTTTTATGTGTCATAGTCGCACATACTGCATTCTTTCACACACACACACACACACACACATGTATATTTCTTTCTCTTCATATACATCATATTAGTGTAGTATTCCCGACTTCATACCTCGATATCATGTCTAACTATTGAATGATGCCATGCCCGTCATCTCTTAGCTGACTTTCTACTGTAATGTATGTATATGAACGTTCAACATTCATGGGTTTTCGTGTGCGGTGTGTCGATGTTTGATTACACGAATTGGATTCGGGTTTGTAGTTTAAGTATAGGGAGTGGTTGAGTTAAGGTTCTCCCCATATGATAAGCTCTTTGTTTTGTCCTTTTTTTTTCTTTTGAATGATACATGACTGTTGTATGCAAGGTTGACATTGTTGGTAACATGCTATAAATGGCCTTTTCATTTGCTTCTTCATTTATGAACCATTATTTATTGGACCTGTGTTGTTCATGTGATGAAATGTTGCTGGGTGAGTCGACAGTTGGAGAGGGGAACAAAATATTTTTTGTAAGGATGTGGAAACCTCTTCCTAGTAGACGCATTCTAAAACCATGAGGCTGCTAACGGTGGGTTCGGGCTATTACAGTTGGTATCAGAGTCAGGTTTCAAGCAGTGTGCTAGTGAAGGACACTGGGTTCCCAGAAGGGTGGATTGTGAGATCCCACGTCGGCTGAAGAGGGGAACGAAGCATTCCTTATAAGGGCGTGGAAACCTCTCCCTAGTAGATGCGTCAACCATACGTATGAGCTAAAACAAACAATATTTGCTAGTAGTAGCCTCGGACGTTTGAATTTGTTTTAAAAAAACTAGGTTGTATAAGAGGGGAGCCCTCTATGATGTGGTTTGAAGGGCATTTGGTTAAGGGTTGTTGGCAATAATTTGTGTTCACAGTCAAAGTGAGACCTTTTTTTATGTATACTGAGGGGGAAAAGAAAGGCAGAAGGGGCAAAAGTTACTTGGGGGTTTCATGTCAGTTTAGGCTTTTGAGGTAAAGAGGTAATAATTTGCTTGGAATTGAAGTAAAGGGGTAAAAAGTAAAAGCTTGATTCTTGGGATGGTAAATTTACCCCTCCCTACCACCCTCAATTATTCTTTGAAGTGTATAGTCCTCAATGTGACCTTTACACGGGGTGGGTACCCTAAAAGGGATAGTGCATGGTAACTTTTTGGTCAACTTTGACCTTACTATTTCTCACAAATTACTTACCTTATCGACCGATATAAGGTAACCTTATTTGTTGTCGTTAAACTATTATCACTGTAATGTACTTTGGAGTAACGTCTTAAAAAGGCTAAAAGAGACTTTAATTTGAAGCACTTTTTTTCGGTTGGAGGAGGCGAAACATAAGCCTCGATCAACGATAAAATTGTATAACGGGTAATGATCATATAAGGACAATCGAAAAATCAAACCTATTAATTATCACTTTCTTATAAAGATCTCGAAAAGATTCACTTTTTAATCAATTTTTTCTCTTTGGGTTAAATCACATTGTGTCAAACATCACA